TCCAGTCGCGTTCCTCTCCACAAGTCAAGTATCATATTCTTCACCTCAGCCGAGTGCCGCGTACGAGTGCCATTTTGTGACATTCGGAGCAGAGCAAGCTGTTGCACTAACTGCGCGGTCCCACTCAACTTTACGTGCCTAGATAACTTCACCGCTACGTTAGTCACCGTACAAGTGCAGTCGGTAGCAAGGCGATCACGTGATCACCTCACGATCACAGTCCCCGAGTATGGCTCATGCGAGTACACACGTGCACCGTGTCACATGACGCATGCGATACAACTTCAAGTGACCGATGCAAACATTTGAGGGAACGATGCAACGAATTAAGAAAATGTGTACTAGTCTGCAGATGTCATCTACGCACCTGCGTTGGTCCCCTGTTTTTCCTTCGGTTTTTGCCACGTAGTCATCTACTTACCCTTTCCACCGTAACTTCCAGAAAGTGTCATCGGTTTCACAACTAATTTTAGGAATAAACAACTTTTCCCCAAGTCATGAGCCCCGTTTCACATGGGATTTTCGATTTGGTGCACTTATTTGGTTCTTTGCCAATAGCGATTGCCTAAACTGTCGGATGACGTGATGTGAAGATCCTGGTGGCACTGTTTCCAAACTAATTAAAAGTGTCACACTTCGGAAGCTCACCGCTCCTCTGGCTAGCGTAATCTGTTGAGGTTAACCTGGTTTCCTCCACTATGGAGAATGCTGGTTCGGTTATTTACATTAACCCAAGCGCTGGAACAGCGCCATGCACGGAACGGATTATTTTGGTTTTCATTCACTTGGATGCGCCTGATGTGATACTGCCTTCGGATGTCGTTTTTTCTGTTCCATATCACACTCTTTCTTGCTGTTGCGGGGTATTCCGCAGTGAACCACTGGACAAACCATTACTCGCAATAGATTATTCTTTGATCCTCCTTCGTTGTGATGTCATCGCAATGTTGATCCACCGAAATGAACGAGCTCTTTCCCGAATCCCCGTTAGTATCCCCATTACTGCCGACCTCGCTGTGATTTGCTCTAGGGTTAGCGACAAAATCACTCACCAGTTTCATACCAATCCTTGTGCGATGAGGCACGGTGCTTTGTTGTTATGAAGAAATCACCATGGTATACAATGAGTTCCGTTATGTAAACATACAGCTGATCCCATTAACTGCTTTGCGTACGTTCATGTTGATTTTCATTGCTACTTCCGTCGCACGACATTTGATTACACTACTAACAATGAACGAGTAGATGCTCATTCTTTTCATTTCACCAGTCTGTCTGTTCCACTATCCGATTGCCGGCACACACCTTCCGCGGAAGCAGCGGCCCTTTTGCAGCTAGGCGGTGGCTTCGCGACACGCTTAGGAAAGCGTTCCAATACTGATGGAAGTTTGGTGTTGGTACCCGAAAACACAGCACTCCACGACGCGTTTCGACTTTATTTGCTCTCATTAGCACTCGAGCCCGGGACAGTTTAAATGTTACTTGGGACCTCTATCCCGTGCCCACGGTCCACTTCGCTGCGAATCACGATCTTCATTTGGATTGCGCGTCGCTATTCATCCACACAACCAGTACTTCCAAATAACCCTCCACTCTCCATTATTGTTTTTTACTGTGACCATCTTACTCTCGCACCTACGTTCAGGATGCACTTTTTTCGTAACATCATTTGAAATGCTGATTTGTTATCTTCCCTGTTCGTGCGCTACCTATTCAACCTCCACGAACGTTGGAGAACACGGTTAGACACCGACTGTTAGCCTCCATTTCTTTGATTTCCACAAAGTAGTTATCAGACCAACGCCCAATTGGGTCTGGATGTAGTCTACTACTGAAATCTGCTCAAAGGCTTTCCGACCCACTGTTTCTGGAGTTAGAACGATTAACGTACCTAATCCAACCTCGTTGTTTTCCTGGTCAACTGCAGTCAAGTTGTACTGGCTTCGCGTCCTGATAACGGATGGCTATTACATGTTTTGGTACAGTGATAGCAGGCCAACTAGCAACCGTCATGCCGTCTATACTCTATAGCAGTGGGATTGTTTTTTGCTGCATGCGCTGTTGACTCTGTTATCCGTGTTTTGTGGAATTAGGGCCGTGCATCTAACTAACTAGAATCCTCACTCATTTGTTCACTTCAAATTTCACTTGCAATTTCTTTTCAACTAACAGGCATCAACGGTTGACCCCGACCCGCCACTTTATCCGGCCGAGCAATTGTACGGTATCGTAGGTACCAGCCTACGTCGCACCTATGATATTCGAGAAGTAATCGCCCGCTTAGTCGACGGGAGTCGATTCACTGAATTTAAAGCCATGTTCGGCGAGACCTTAGTTTGTGGTACGTCATGATGTTGCCGTTTTTATCCTTTTTGACCTTTTCTCCCAGTTTACTTGTTGTGGGCTAAGATTCTTATTTGGGAATTATTGGGAATACCTGTAGCTCGGAATGTGGATGAGAGGATTGTTATGTTCTCCGAGCTAGGCAATTTTGTTCCAGACGTTTCCTTGCCAAACTAGGCATTATTCTCAGTGCGGCTATAGTGGTCTGATTTGCAGTCTCATAAGCTACTGCCAGTGGCAGTGGCTTTGAACCTGTCACCTTAACCTTTCTAATCGACACTCAGCATTTAGTCAAGTACTGTGAAAGTAATGGCACTGCCTCATACCATTTTGTTGAATTTCTTAGTCATTGTTTTACTTTTCCTCTTTTTTTAGACAAATTAGTGCCGGTTTATGTAGCATGGTGTACTAAGTTTCCTGCCACAACTATTTCAGATTTATCGATCCGCTGCTCTTCAGTTGGACAATAACTGCCCTGGCATTATCCGTTGACTCCCTCCTGAATCTCATTCGCATTGTCATCTTGTATGTCGGCGTTTATCCGACGTACAAGCTGGTACAATACCTTCCACCGTCTATCGCGTGGTGCTATGTAGCTTCGAGTGCCACTATGAAAACCATTCTACGTCACGCGGAAGTACCAATGGCTACCGTCAAATCGTCACACTCGCTGGTAATTGCCATATCGATCCGAAGTATTCGATCGCTTTACATATCTAGGAATTTAGATATTCGAATATGTGGTCTTCACCCATGCGTCCCACAATTCTGGAGCTTATAAAAGGATAATAGGTACAATGAGGCAATTTTTGCATTTTACGTTAGACGTTTGTGGAGTAGAACTAGTGTCTATTTTTTCCACTGTAGGGGGAATTTCCAATCAGCGGTTGAGCAAGTAAAGAGGTTGGGAAGTTATGTAGAGTTGTTTGGTCCATCATAATTGAGCAAGACTAAAGAGACTTTGTCAGGGTCTGGGGAGCAAGTTGGTCGAATCAACTTGATTTGGCGTCTTATGCTACTGAATTTAAACCCATCGATACGGAGTGTGCCACTTTTTCCCATTGCAATGGGGCTGGACCTTACCGTGGTGCGATGATTTGTGTGCCTCATTGATCCATAGAGCTATAATGAGTGGTGCATTTTTTGCACCTTCAGAGTCACTCATGCCAGGTTGGTCAATGGTTAGAGGCCAGACAAACTCAGCCTCCTGGTCCTCCAGGTAAAGGGTTGGAATGAAGGTGGCTCCTTATTCCGTATAACGGACTCCTTGTAGCCCAATGTCAAACCCGCTCCCTTGTAGTCAGGTTTTTGAACCAGAGGCTTTGGTTGAGAACCCTAATCGTTGTCCTGTCTAGGCCTGGGCAACCTGACAGTATCCTGCCCACGCAATACAATGAATCACACTTCAAACAAATTTCTGATGCTCTGGCCACCGCAGAGGATAATCAACGGTGCCCTATCTTCTGCATCGGGCAGGGTGGATAGGGGTTTGGATGCTACTGCTCAAGCCTTCCCGTCTTCTTATTCCCTCTCTTGCGCTTTTTCACCCTTATCGTCCCGTTCCAGCTTCACTTATATCCCCCCTGTTTTCAACCCCCCCAATTCTCGGCCCTCCCCCACGTTGCTTCAATAGTCGCTTGTCTTTTAGTTTCAACTCACATGTGAACGCGGAGCGTCATTCCTGCACTGTCAACAGGCCCATGTCCAAGCAAGCGGTAAAGCCCAGTTCATCGGCTTCCATTTGGAGCCCTCGATCCTCCTTCAGATTGGCATGCCTCAATGTTCGCACATTGCTTCAGATCGGTCAACAGGCAGCACTTGCTCGAACATTAGAGACCCTATCGATCGATATCTGCTGCTTATCGGAGACCCGCCTGCAAGACTTGAGCTCTGTGCTCACTCTGCGATCCCCTTCAGGTGACACTAGCAGCACTTTCTCGTTGCGCCTATCCGGTGACGATGCAGCTTCGAGCACCGGCCAAGCCGGTGTTGGTATTGCCCTGAGTCCCCGGGCTGAAGCTACTCTGGTTGATTGGATTCCAATCAGTAGCCGGATGTGTGCGGTCCGATTGGCTGGCTCGTTCAAAGCTTCGAATTCACCTGGAACTAACAGGTGTCTATTTGTTATCGCTGCCTATGCACCGACAAACTGTAGCGATGGCTCGGTAAAAGATGACTTCTATCGTCAACTGAACGAGCTGCTTAGCCACAGAAGAAGCTCGGACACTGTAGTGCTGGCTGGGGATCTGAAGGCTCAAGTTGGAAAGTTATCCACAGATGAGCTGTATCTGGGCGGCCAACATGGTATAGGCTCCCGTAATGATAACGGTGAGCGGTTACTTCATTTGTGTGAGGATGCTCGCTTATTTCTTGCGAGCACTAATTTCAGACACAGCACCCGCCGAAGGGTGACTTGGCGCCCACCATCCTCGAACCAGCTATGGACGCAAATCGATCACATTGCTATCAGTTACCGATGGAGAGGCTGCATCCAGAACTGTCGCTCGATTTGGAGCACATGTGTGGACACCGACCATGCACTTGTATGTGCTGACATTCGGATGCGTTTTGGCGGACGCCCACGACGACGTTGTGAGCGCATTGATACCAGCCAACTGGCGAAGCCAGCTGTTCTGAATGCGTATCAAAGTACGCTGTCATGCGAGTTGGATAAACGCTCACTGGATGCAATTGAAGGTCACTGGTCCCATATTCACCAGACCTTACTAGCAGCAGGAAAATCCTCATGTGGTGTGTCTATTCGCCAACGTGGACATTGGGTCTCTTCACAGTCTCTTGAACTTATCGACGCTCGCCGACATATTCCGGCTGGAAGCGAACACAATGCAACTCGCAAAGAGCTCCGGGCAAAACTCCATGCTAGCCTGAAGAGACCGCGAATCCTGGTGGTCTCATCGTGCAACAGAGATGGAAATGTCCGCTGCCCTTGGTAACCATCGTAAGTTATTCCGTCTGATACGGGAAACGGGCAGCAGGAGACCTGGCTTTAGTGAAATTATACGTGACGAGAGTGGACAGCCTATCCACAACTTATCAAAACGCTTAGAGCGTTGGGCTGAGCACTTTAAAAGGCAATTTAATCGGTCGAAATGGTTAGATTTCTCGCCGGCCACTGATCGCCCCACTCCCTGGGCTGTCCCTTTTGATCCACCCTCTCGCTCAGAAGTCGAACGTGAGATCGGACTGTTGAAGTTGAACAAAGCCGCGGGACCAGATGATCTTCCTCCAACCCCCTTCAAATTCGTGGGACCTGCTCTTATGGGTGATTTACACTAGTTACTAGTCAAACTGTGGGAGCAGGAAACTGTCCCAACCAATTGGAGCCGCTCCGTCATAGTCCCAATTTTCAAAGGAGGTTCACGATCGGAATGCGGCACCCATAGAGGAATCAGTCTGATCTCCATCGCCTCCAAATTGCTTGCTTCTGTCATCCTTCACAGACTGACTGGCACTCGTGAAAACCAGATTCGTGAAGAGCAAGCTGGATTTCGTCGAGGTCGTGGCTGCATTGACCACATCTTTACCTTGCGTCAGTTGTTGGAGCACCGTCACATGTATTGGCGGCCCACCGTTGTCGTGTTCCTCGATATCAAAGGTGCATACGATTCGGTGGATAGACGTGCACTTTGGGACTGTCTACTCAGGAAAGGTGTGCCCGAGAAATATGTGAATATTATCCGAGCATTATACGCGCGTAGCTCGGGCAGAGTGAGGGCTTACGGCAAGCTGTCGTCGCCCTTTAATATCTCCAGCGGAGTGAGACAAGGATGCCCGCTGTCACCTTTCCTCTTCAACTTCGCTGTTGACGAAGTCATGGAAATCGCGTTCACAGGACATGACTTAAAAGGTGTGGATTTGCTCCCAGGAGAACGACATCTTGACTTAGAGTATGCTGATGATATTGCCCTAATCTGTGACAGCTCCCAGAGGTGCCAAGGGGCACTGGACAGATTAGCACTAGCTGTCCGTCACTTCGGGCTTTGCTTCGCACCCTCGAAGTGCAAAGCGTTCCTCCAAAATTGGTCTGGACCGCCCCCTACGTTGACCCTTGTTGGGGATCAGCTAGAAGTCGTTCAAAAATTCAACTACCTGGGAAGTTGTATCAGCACATGTGGGATTGAAGATGAGATCACGAACCGTATAGCGGAAGCTCGGGGCGCTTTTGCTAACCTTCGCCACTTGTGGCGCCGGCGCGACATCACTCTTGCCCTGTAGGTTAGAGTGTACAATGCAGCGGTACGTTCTACCCTACTGTACGGTTGTGAAACCTGGCCGCTTAAAGCAGCGGACCTGAAGAGGCTAGTTACGTTCGACCACCGGTGCCTTCGTAATTTAGCTCACATCTGGTGGGAACACCGCGTGAGCAACGAGCGTGTTCGACGCCTTGTTTATGGCACAGGAAAAGGAAATGAACCGCTCAGCACCGTTATTTCACGCACCAGGCTCCGATGGTTCGGCCACGTGTTACGCATGCCAGCCCACCGACTTCCGCGACGTGTATCGTTTGTGCGCCGGGGGTGTGGATGGAAGAAGAGGAGGGGTGGCCAAGCGATGACTTTGTCGAGAGGAATGAAAGCCCTCACTTCTGAGCTGGCCTCGGTTGGAGCGTCTCGGCTCCCTGGTTGGGGTCCGAAAGACGATGAACACGTTTGGTTGGACACACTTGCTGATATGGCTAGGAGCCGACCTCAATGGCGTTTGTCCTGTGAGTTTATTTGTTCCTCCTCATCCCTCTTAGCCTCCCCCTCCAACCACGATCTCATTGTTTAACCTTATATAATTTTGCATAGTAATTTTTTTGATGCATAGTAGCCGGCTGTTCGCTTACCGGAACGATGCCCATCCGTTACCGGTAGCTCAGCCGGTTTACCCCAGCTGAATTCTTTTTTTCTCCTTTTTTCTGTGTATTGCGGCACAGTAGCTGAGGTGTTCCCCACCTCTAGCTAACGTGTATGATGATGTACCACTTTTTCCATTCTCGACTGGCGACTTGTCTTTCTACTTACTTGCATAAGTAGATGCAACTTACGTGATCGGTTATGACTACTGCATCAGAGCTAACAGTGGTAGGGACTATCATTAGTTTTCCTCTGCCGTTTTCAGGCCAGGGGCTTTAGGCATCACTTGCCACGTTATCATTCCCTAGTATTACTGCTTTGGGTTTTGCACCACTTATGGTGCTCCATGACCACTATTTTTGGGTAGAATTTGTACTTTGAAAGGGTTACTCAATTTCCAAAACTAATTTTCTACTATACTTTGCAGCCATTTGATACATTGTAGCAGTGAGTACAGCAAGCCGTCCAGCTCGTCTATTGCGCTTTTGCTCTCTGATGTGAATTCACTATTGTATTTGACTGTTGAGCACATCAGGTCAGTCCTAGACTTAAAACAACAGCTACGGATTTCAAGAAGCGGAAACTGCATCGGTGCACTTATCCATGCGTTTCGCTAATGTTTGGAATGATTCAGAATAGAAAGTTCATCGATAGGTCTTCATGCATCGCTTCCTTTCCTTTCGGGTCTAAGCGGGCGGAACTCACGGTGCTAGATCCGCACTATACTGAGTAATTGACGATCCGACCCAGGAGTTACTGACCTCCCAAATCATACTGCCCCTTCAATTTGATCAAATATAGAATTTTGTTTCTGAATCCACGTGGTGCTCACATTTTTGCAACAGCAAATTCTCTGCAGTTCCAAATGAGCGATGAGACACGTTTACAGTTTTACATCAGATCACCCGATGGTTGAAAACGATAAGTCATTCAAAATGCTAAATGTTCGTAGGATCAACGGCTCCAGGTTCGGATCCACATCGGCCGGAATTGTCGGTGAGAGATGTAGGACCACATTTGGAGGTCTTGCACCATATGAATATCTTAATTTGATTAAAAGTCCTATCACCGGTTTTATGCCTTTCCTCACACTAGAATTTTCATCACAGCGCGGTGTTGCATGCACAAACTAATCTCGTTTTCCTCTATCGTGGAAAATTTTATATGAAGTTCTACATGATAGTAATGTATCCCAGCACTAACCGGGCACAGTTACCAGCTCCCACCGCGTGTTACTTTCGCTTTACACCTGTAAAACAATCCCGGATTGCCTGGAACGACACACGTATTTTTGGCTTACTAGCTAAGGCAAATACAACATGGGAACGCAATCCAAGCTAGGCTATAGAATGAGCGATATTTTATCACTGTGATTGTTGCTTTTTAAATGAGTTAATACTTGGTCCATTCTCGTTAAATATCCTTGCGTTCGCTCCGTCGCCTTTCCTCCTATTCTTCACAGTTCTCATTAGCATGCCGACTCGTGTCGTGTCAACAAGATTTATCGCACTTCGTCACTGACTGACAGATAACATAAACCGCATCCTGGATTCCTTCCTTTTTCACTGTAGGTCCACTCTGCTGTATCGTCTGTTTGGATGGTTGCCACGGAGCTGTGCGAAGCCGTTTCGCTCTGCGGCCGCTGTTATATCTCATTGACCGATCGCAGCCTAGTGTACCTGTCCCCCTGGCAACATGTCCACGTTGACGACGTTGTAAGGACGATACCACTGTGTAAAGCTTTACACTGCCCATAAGTGGCCTGTAGGTGACACGAAGGTTAGATGGTGGCGAGTAAGATGCGGACATTTGCTGAATAAACGTATACCAATAACCTACTAGTCTACTTCACCTTTCTATTTTCTGTGTCGTTCTAACTAATCCTAGGTCATGCGACAACCACTGAATACTCGAGACCGACATTGTTCCCACACCATTAGTTTTTAGCTTGACGTACCTCAGCTGCGGAATGCGTCAGGGTAGGTTTTTCACAACAGCCGTATTTTTGCCGACCAGCTGCATCGTCCACATCACCTCAAAAGTAATCATCACTGTTCACTTGTATTCACCCATATCTAGTTACAACCGCCATGACAACTCGAGCATATCTGCAGTGTTTATGAATGAGGATGCTCCCGTCCTGGTAGTCAGAATACTGGTCCCATTTTTCCTTTTCGTGCTCTGTTCCACATTCTGATCAAACCTGTTGTCTACTTGTAGGTTTTTCCCGTTTGTGGGGTTTTCCTGTTGGTATCTTAGGCAATAATGGCGTATTGTTTGGTGACTCGGCAGTCAAAGGCGCCCATTTCATCCAACTTTGTTGTCAGCGCAACATTCCCTTAGTGTTCCTGCAAAACATTACTGGTGAGTTACAGTGGTTTTGATTGATTACCTGAGCCTCATCTATTCTCTCAGTTTGCATCATATTCTCGGGATAATGAGACATATCTTTTCCTGTGTGATCACATGTTTAGAGTTGTATTTCATTTAAAGCAGCCATGGAATAATCTAAATTTGTGATAAAAGGAATCACTTTATCAGAAATGATTCTACGATTCCGACATTTTCTCTGCATTCGAGTCGCATAGTCTCGATTAGGGTATTTTTGTGTTGAACATCCTTCATACCCCTTGCATTGTATTCATCTTTTCCAACGGCAAAAACACAGCATACTTCGTGTGTGCGAACCGAACTAACTTTTCTTTTTCCCGGTATAAGGAATGAAGAGCATTTGTATGGGGATAAGAGGAACTTTAGTCCACTATTACTTGAGTATAGAACGTCTGATCTAGACAGCCCGTTTTATTGAACGTTATCGTATTCAGAGAGGGTGGGGTGAAACGAAAGTTTTTCTTGTTTTAGCTTAGCAGCTGCACATGACGGCGGCGATAACCGAAAGGGTAAATTCGTTTGGAGGCGTATGAGGCATACTTGCTCCGACTAGTTACACATGTTGGCTTAACCCTACACTAGGCCTAGCCGAATAAAAAGCAAAATGAAATATGAATGAAGGTGCAGGAAGCAGAATCGGTCGGCTTCTCCTTGCCGCATGACTTGTTTGTATGCGGATCACAAGGGATGTGTGTGGCTGAGTGGGAACGAACGCATGGACTACGTGAATGGAGATAGACTCAGCCAATGCTACCTTTCTAGTTCAGCCTTTTTAATTTGTCTATAGGGATCCATGACTGCGTAAACAGAACATGAAGCGTTGAGACAAAATCTGTTGGCAACGCACTTATTTGTGTAGCTGTGAGCCATGCTTTTCCGTGTAGTTTCGAGTGAAGAGGATTTCCTCTTCCGTTATTAAATACAATCCTCCAGGATTGCCTGTGGTTGTCGCATCTTGTGCTTCCGTGTACTAAGCACACGTGTTTCAACTCTCTCTTTCCTCAACTAGTATTTTCCACTACAATTTACTCGTAACATTGATATTGTATACTTAGGAGCTGCCTTCCTTATTTAACATTGCGATCCACAGGCCTTCAGCTGAAAGACAGTCCCATATTTCAGTGTATCTGTTTAAGTATAATTTTCTTTGGATATTGATCGTCTTGATGGATGCGGAATGAATACTTGGTATTCCCAATTGCATATCTATGTTCCCGTTTGAAGCGACTACTAAGATTTCCTTCGCATACACATTCACGGACCAAATAATACAAGAGCTTTAAGTCTAGCTTCACAAAGACTCCAGTTGTAGCACCTTGCAACGTTCCAAGTAGTTTAGTTTGGACAAGCGATTGAAGTGAGCCTTAGTGATCCATGTACATTCTCTAGCCACGTGAGGTCGCATTTTATGCCATTTGTGATAATAATCGGTCAGTGTTCTAGCATGGGACGAATGCAGACCGTAAATTAGCGCAACTGTCACTCGCGCATCACGAATGACTTGAAGATGATTTTCGCACTTCTCTTGCTATGGCCTTTACTAAGTCAAATTGCCGTCCGAAATTCAGTGCTAGCATTGCGTATGCTCAGATCACGTATAGTAGTTTTAACGCACATAAGATGAATTACGTTCGGCAAACGTTTATCAAGCTGCATTTCTCCGCTGAGGATGACATTAGCCTATCGGTGCACCACGATTCCAAGGCCAGTAGGTCTATCGTATACAGTGTATCGCTCAAGTGCCTGGGATTGAAAGTGCATAGTATCTTTGTTTCATCCGCAAATGTACGGTGTCACAAATTCTGTTGTTTCTGTTATTCACTGATACACATTAAGAAGTGCAATGGACCCAATGCACTTCCCTGAATAATACCACATTTGACAGGCGAGAGAAGCATCTAATATACCCTATTTTTACTTTGAGTTCCACTCATAAGGTAGGATTTGAAGTACGCATTCAAGGGATCAATGCTCTTTAAACCTGCTAACTTTTCTAGGATGTTTTCGTGCGGAATTCTGTCAAAAGCCGGCCGACAGGTCTGGAGTGAAAGCTTTCTAAGAACTCACCTTAGGCTTAGTTTATAAAATTCATTGATGTCAATTACTTCCTGACTTGCTCTTTCACAATTATTTTTCATTTTTTGGGTAGTCGGTGTGTAACTAATTCGGCGGTGATTTTCTATATCTTGTTTTGGACCACTTTTGGCCTATATCTGTAATAGCAAGTTTCGGTTGAATCGAGGTCATACAAGGAAAAAAGTTGGTAGACTATCCAGCCTATCATGAGACCGTAGCAAATAATTCCAATTTTCACACTATTGCCCAATGTTGCAGTCTGGCAAGTGCTGTGCTAGCGCTCAGTATTTGGCTCGTAGATGAAGTATCGCAAATTAAAATACGTCAGGCTAACACCAGAGGAACTGTATTCTAGGCAGTATTTCAAACAACTCATCGATTAGATCAGGTTTAGCAAATTGCGGCCTCCGGGCCGTATTCATGCTGCGATGTCAGTTCGTCCGACCCTCCGACTCTACTCCTATTTGCTTGCTAAAGCGTATGAAGCACGGGACGTTTGAAGATTTACATTTGATTCCGCACTTGTGTGAACCAGCTCACTGTTGTTTCTTACGACACCGTACTATCAGTGATCTCACATCTCTAGAGCATTGCTGTGAGTGATCACGCATGAAACCCATTCATCCATGCACTCTGCTGTTTTTCTGTCTGCCTCACATTTGTACCTCAACATTAGGTTAGTCCACTCTTTTGATGCACGTAACCTAGAACAGCTCAGCGTATATAGACACTATCATTTTGGAACCATGTTTGCTGGCTATTTGGAACGAATTACAAATTGGTACTGAATTGGGCTGGAAGTGCAAATCGTTGAATTTTGTGCACTTTGGTTTTTCCCATGGCATGTCGATTTTAGTTATCCAGTTCCACCTTCTTTATTTTACCCCGGTTTAAACGCTTCACTCAAACTTTCTAAGTGATTTGTTGCCTATTTGTCTGTTTGTTGGCATCTGTTTCTGGATTTGTCTGTCACGGAGACTGCCAAAAATCACAGCACGCTTTCGTCTACAGAGGGACCATGCATGGTGTACGCCACACTATGCACGGCTCCATCCACACACTCCATCTCCAGTGTAAACCCGAAGGAATAAGACCTGCAGACAAGTGGATAGGAGCCACGTTTCATCAGCGGAGCCGGCCCACATTCCTTCAACATGCACAGCAGCTGCAGCATACCTGTCTATCTATGTAGGGAATCATGCGTGCCAGACGTACACAAGGCGGTGGCTAGCCCTTAGTCCGCTCAACACTGGATACCTGGAATCACTCTTTGAGTCTAGTACGGCCACGAGGACCGTGCACCCCGCCACCCCCCCCCCAGCAACAATTAGCAATCTCCTGGAGCTAGTAATCGTAGCGAAGTGTGTTAGACAAGGAATACACCTTGTCCATTTTCACACAGAGCGTGCAGCCACACCTGGTGATATCATACCAACAGCCAATCCCGTCAAGATCAACTGCCAGCTGTGATGAAGCACACGTACCCACATCGATCACATTATTAGCTTGGGGTTAGTAAATGGAATTGAACCGGAAGCAGCCTACTCCACACAAAGGCGCTGCGCTGATGGTGACTAAATATCTAGCTAACTCCTCGCCCTCCTCGAGTGTTAGATCCGCACATGGGCGAACGGTGGTTGGGCTTCACTGTTAGATCCTCCCTTTTTTGCTATTCCGAATTAACAACCCAGAAATTTCTCCGCAGCAATTCTAGCCCAGCCGAAGAAAAATCAAAATTCCAACAGCCTTGACCACGAAAAACGTGTTAACAAAAACTCTGCCAACATAGCCAGAAAATGCCGCCGAAAACACTGTCCTCTCAACTCTGAGGCAAAAGTCCAATTAGCCGGGTGTTGGAAAACGCATTCGTCCGCTCGATCGATTGCCTGATCGACCGCACGGGGTAGGCGATTCTCTTTAGCCCAGCTTTCAGTCACCATTATATACTTTCCCTTTTTTCTTTTATGTTTTTATCTGATTCCCGGATACCTCCCTCTCCTGAAGCTGTTGCCGTTGTGTATGAAGCTAGCCGGGAATTAACCTGGAGCCTCCTGGAAGGGATTCTTCGCCTACCGGTGCATCGCCTTGGCTGTAGTGTTCTGGATTCGAATTCCGTACTCTGCGGTCTGGTATTATTCGTCTGATGACAGGGTTCTTCTACTGGCTCTGTAGGCAAGTTGAAGCTGTCTGTCAACAGGTCAAATGGATGCTTGGCGGATTCTATTGCTTGTGGCTGGCACATGGTTGTTCGCAATTGGTTTGCATGACGTACCCATACCTGCGTTCCAACCAGCACGTCGTAAGTGACGCTTCCGCGCTTGCACTGGATCGTTCCTGGCGTCCATTTTGCGTGTCCACCCTGATACTCACGCACAAGTACTGGCTGACCCGGTGTAAACGAACGTTGCTTGGCACCAA